TTCAAGGTCTGTACAGACGGTGTGGAGCTGAAAGAGAAATCTCCCTTATAAACAAATCCCCATAGGACCAGTCCACTTCACTGCACAACTGCCTCTACAAAGTGCTAAGGAACTGAGGAGTTACACCACATTCATATGCAATTATAACCATTATAAACAAACTGCACCAACAGCCTGGGCCATAGCCTCGCTGGCTTCGCAGTGTTCCAGCTGCACTCCCAATTTCTGAAGCACTACTAAAATACTTCTTATTTTCCCAAGGAAAAAAAAAAAGCTTAAAAAGTTCTCATCAGCTGCACAGATCCAGTCGGAGGATTTTTTTTTTATTAGAATTTCTACAGCAAAGTTGAACAGGCGCACAGGCAAAAGCTCATCTCTAAAAACAGCCAAGTTGCAGTAAGAACTCTTTAGGCCCAATGAGTTGAAGCGCAGCTGAAGCCGAGCGGCCTCGGGTGAACAGAGCTTCACAAAACCTAAACCAAAGGCAGAGATCTTACTGTTGGAGCTGGAAAAACACATCCGTATTTTTCTTTGAACTGCAGAAATTTCACAGCTCCCTTCTTTTTCTCTATTTAAGTTCTCCGAAGGGAAGTTTTCTATTTTCATTCCCTAGAGGAAGAAAACAACCCTCCTCTTCTGATGCCTCCTCCCACCTCACAACAAATCCAGACCACGATGCACAAAAAGAGCAAAGATTAAAAGCTTTCAGATAGAAATCTTCAGATGAATAATAGCAACATAATCCCAAAGAAAAAAATATATGTATATATTCCTTGATGTGGCACTCTGAACTACAGCCCACAGGCACTGCCAAGGCCCCTCCCCAGCCCGACCCCACTTCCAAGCTGCCTGGCTCAGTACGGCCAGACACCGGGGGCAGGGTGGGCAGCACTGGCAGCAGGTGCTGAGTGAGCGCCTTCCTGCTGCTGTGGGCAAGCAGCTCTCCAGACCTCCGAGGGACGTCCCACACACAGCACAGGATCCAGACACTGCTTAATGCTTACTCCGTATCAGCCCAAATTTCTGGATGATAAGAACTACCACACAACAATCTAATGTGTCTACCACAGTCAAGCTGAAAGGTTTAAAAACACATAGAAGCACAATCCATTTTGTTTTCACCCCCCAAACACAGATTTAAAGTCTCGTTTACTGAGCGACAGAATTCCTTATTAAAAACAGTAATTAAAAAAAACAAACCTTCAAAGAAATAGTTCCACTGAACTGTCATGCAACATGCCAGATGCAAACAGAATCCCCAAACCCTGTGATCTTTCTACTAATGCGTGGTAACCAACTTCTCCAGCTAACATGGGTGGTTCTAAGAACTTTTTGATTGTTTAAGAGCCGGGTCTTACTAGGAACTTAGTGTCAATGTTTGGATACAAACTACAGAGCTATATGCACAGGCATCAACACACTTAACGTAGAAGTTTCAGCGTTACATGTTAACTGGGTATAAAGGCATCAGAGTCCTAGTCTTCCAAGGCTTTCAGAAAAATGCTACTACCTGCGCCAATTAAGCTCCAAACAAGCCTCTCCCCATCAGAGCCCAGCATTTCCCTGCTCCACGCACACCAGGCAGGCACGGAGGAGCCCCATGTGAGAAGCAAGGCATCCTCCTTGTTACAGGCAAGCACAGCCACAAAGCAGAAACAAAAAGTAAACAAGACAGCTCCAGCCCTTATTTCTGACACCTGAGGACGCAGCTAAGGATGACAAGCCCCCATTACCTCCTGTGGTGCACATGGCTGTACACCCCCTGCCCTGACAGCAGGCAACAGCAACTCCAGCAAAGCTAACACCACGGGCCCAGGTGTGTGCCTGCCCCTATCCGGCATCCCGTGCAGCCCTCTGGCACGCAGGTGCTGCGCCAAGGGCCTGTCCATGCAGCCCTCCCATAGCAGAGAAAAGTTGATGGTGGAGCTGGTACTCAGGCCCAAACAGCACGCAGAGGGAAGGAAGGGAGCGGGGAGGGACGCGTGCCTCTCCGCAGGTCTGCGGGCAGTCACCGTTACACGCAATTAAAAAGTGGGAACAGGTGTAGTAGATACCATACTTTGATAGCCGAACAAAGAATATTACAGCACGTGACCAAAATGCGATGACATTTGTTCACCAATCGAAAACAAAAGCCACTCTCCAATGGCACTCTTTCCTCCACCCCCAAGAATTAGGAACTTGGAAACCTCTCCATATTGAAGCTCATCTTCTCCCGGCCTCATTTTTTGACACTTGAGAAGAAGTTGAAGGGAGAACCTCATGCACCCGGCCGCCGCAAACCCACCCCGAGCCCAGGTGCGCCGTCCCGCCCCGGCACCACGGAACTGCGGCTGCGAAGCGACTCGCCCGACGGCAGAGCTCCGAATAATGGAGAGAAAGGGAAGAAAAACAACAGCGGGGAAAAAGGAAAACACCACCGCGGAGACGAGCGAAGAAAGGAGCATGCACACGACCAACACACCAAATGGCAGAGTCCCACACAGGGCCGCTCCACCTACGCACGGAGGAGGGCAGGGACGGCAGCGACGAGGACGGGGCACGGCGCGGGCCGGGAGCGGAGCGTCGCTGCGGGCGGCCCGGGGCGGGGGCAGCGGCCGGCGGAGTACAACTTGCAGAAGAAGCGGAATTCTCCCGGCCGCTGCTCGGGCCACAAAGACGAATGAAAAGAAGGTGGAGGAAGGAAGGAATAGAATTTTAAAAAATAAAAAAAATTAAAAAAAATTAAAAAAAAATTAAAAAAAAAGCCTGCGGCAGCGGGTTTACTACGAACGATCAATCACCGAGAGCGAGCGGCATCGTCCCCCAGCCCGGCACCAAACTTCCCCGACAGCATCGCGGCGCTGGGCCCGGCCAGAGGGAGCGGGCCCGCAGCCCCCCGTCCCCGCGGGGGCCCGGCGCGGTGTCATCCCGGCCCGCTCCTCCCCCCGCCCGGCCGCCACCTCCCTCGGCCCCGCGTCCCCCTCCTCCTCCTCGCCCCGCCCGCAAACTTCTGGCGGGGCCCCGGGGGCCGCAGCGCCCCGGGACGCTGCACCCCCCTCCCCCCCCCACCCCCACAACCATACAGACAGACAGACACACAGACACACACACACCTCCCCGGGGAGGGGCCGGGGGCGGCGGCGAAGTTGCGGCGCAAGTTGGGCGCGGGGCGGGGGGCGGCGGGGTCGGGGGGGGGCAGGGAGGAGGAGGAGGAGGAGGAGGAGGAGGAGAGGAGGAAGGCGGGATACTACACCCTGCTGGCGGCGGTGCGGCGGCGGCGGGCCCCCTGGCAGGACCTGGCTGCGAGGGGGAGGACTCTTCTTCATAGGGGGAGGGTGCTGGGGCCGCCGCTCCTCCGGGCCTCCCTGTGCCCCTCTTCCGGGCGCCTCTCTCTCTCTCCTCCTCTCACTTTCTTTAAGCTAAGCGGGGAGTGGAAGATGGTAGGTTGCTCCCTTCTCCTCCTCCTCCTCTTCGCTCGCTCTCGCCTCCGTGGGGTCCTGTTCCTTCCCCCTGTCCGCGGGGGGCTCCTCCTGCGGCGGGGAGGAGGGGGCGGGCGGGGCGGGAGGCACGGAGCCGGCGAGGCGCAGGAGGAGAGAAACTGTGACACAAAAACAAGCCGCGAAGCTGAACTCTTCTTCAATCCCATTCACCCGGCCCGGCCGCAGCACCGCGCCGACGGATCCCTCCGCCGACGGCCTCCCTGCCTGCCTGACGCGCGCTCCCGACGCGCCGCCGAGCGCGTCCCCGCCCGCCCCCGCCCCGCGCCGGGGGGGTCCGGCCCGCCGCCCTCGGAGCCCCCCCGCCGCTCCCGGAGCGCCCCCGCCGTCCCCTCGCCTCCGTGCCGGCGGGGGCGGCCACGCCGCCTCCTCTCGAGGGGGACTACTTGACGCGTCGGTGCGGCGAATTTATTTCCCTTTGCCTAAGGAACGGGCTGTGCTGCGGCACCCATTGCCTAGGGAAAAAGCCCGGATGTGAAGTGAGTGAAACTAAAGTAGAGTGAAGTAGGGCACCAAACTCTGCCGGAGCCGCGCCGCCCGCGCGCCGCCTCCCTCAGCCGCCCCCCGAGCGGCGGCGGCCGCCGTCGCTCGGGGGGCGGCTGAGGGAGGCGGCGCGGCGCGGGGCCGTTAGCCGTCTCCCCCTCCCCCCTCCCGGCCGGCCGGCGCGCGGGGCTCGGCGCGGGAGCGCGCGCGGCGGGGCCGCGCGCAGGAAGCTGGGTCGCGGGCGGGAGGAGCCGCGCGCGCGGGGCCCCGCCGCGAGGGGCTCCTCACAGGAAGTTGATGCAACAGGGCCGCGTCCGAGCCGCCGCCGTCACGCCGAAATAGCGAAATAAAATCAACCGGCGAAACGCACGGCGCCGAGCCGCGTTCGGTTTTAATTACCGCTTTCCCGTCAAAGTTCTGGGGGGAGGAGGGTGTTTGCCGGGGAACTTTACGGCTTTCTTAAAGCGGCAGCTCCTGGGCTCCCGTAATTACGTAAGGAACTCAGACTGCTTTTTTTTTTTTGCTTTTTTTTTTTTCGCCGACTGGAATTAAGTTTCCAGTTTGTAGACGAGAGCCTGAAAACACAAACCTTAAAGATGTAGAACCCAAGTGGAGTCACCCAAACAGGCATCTGCTCACCTCACAGCGCTCACCTTTCTCTGGGATGGTTGCACAGGACAGACATGGATCAGATGGAGCACGTCCAGAGGAGGGGCACAAACATGGTCCCATGGGTGGAACACCTCTCCTTGTGAGCTGAGGCTCTCCAGCCTGCAGAAGAGAAGGCTGCGGGAGTCTTGAGTGGCCTTCCAGTATCTAAAGGGGGCTGCAATAAAGGACGGGTCTTTAGCAGGATTTGTTGTGAGAGGACAACAAGAAATGGTCCCAAGCTAAAGGAAGGTAGATTTAGATTGGATAAAAGGAGTAAGTTTTTTACAACAAGGGTGGTGAAGCACTAAAACAGGCTATTCAGAGAGGTGGTGCATGCCACATCTCTGGAGACATTCAAGGTCAGGCCGGACTGTGAGCGCTCTAACTGTACGTATCCCTGTTGGTTACAGAGACTAGATGTCTTTTAAAGGTCCTTTCCAACTCTGATGATGGTGTGATTGTATGAAAGACCTCAACATCTCAGGTTTCTCCTGCATCACTTCTCACTGTGGGCCAAACGTTGCAGCCTAGTCACCAACCTGGGGTTTGGTTTTCCCTTCTGTAATAGTTGGAGGCACTCAGCTGGAGTCAGCTGCCCACAACACAATCTGGAGCTGCTTTTGTCCTTCAGAGTGTTTGACAGATGCACCACAAATGTAAATACTGAGCCCATTTCTTTCACTGTTTTTCTATCTTTCTGATTAAGGAACAAGTTAAAAGAAGTTGGAACCAGTGATTAAGTGTTACAGATTCAGCATGTTTATTCTGTTGAGAAGTCAATATGTGCGGTTTGACTGAAGTTTGTTTTAGAGATGAACTTTGGACAAAGTTCAAAGAAAAAAAAAATCATCATTCACTATTACAGCAGATGTACAAAGAAATTGTATGCCATTCCTCCCAGAAGTCAGGCCGTGGTAAGCGCTGTGCCACACCGTCTTTGTTAGGTGCACGCTGCCCACAGAGATCTGTGGGTCATAGATGGGTGGCTCAGCCTGTCTCACACCAACCTCAGCAATTTAATCCATAGGTTCTGATCAGATGTGCTGGAAGTGCTTTAATAACAACGTACATACTCTGCTCCTTTGTTCAGGCTCACAATGACAAAGAAGAGCAGTCCCAGCCTCTGCACTACTTCTGGCTTCATTTCCACATCAGCAGAAAGGGCTTCCCCAGGTACGTGTGTAACATATTGCTTCTGGTAGCATTGGAAGTGATCTTGTATATGAAATTGGAAACAACAGCACTATTAAACACGCAGCTAAATGCTTGAATAAACCGGCTGTCATTGTTTGTTGGCTTCATGCAGATATGCAGCATGCTTCCATAGCAAGAAAAGCAAAGCCTTGATAGAAGTCTACAAAAAAAAAAAAAAAAATTCCCTCCTTTGTTTCAGGGTGTCTGCCCACAAAGTTGGCCTCCACATCCCTGCCTCCTAATGTGGCATTCTCTCTGTTCACCAAAATTCAGCCTTCAGCTTGCACAAATTTTCCACTGTCTGTTTGATCACATCACCCCATCCCCTTCTCCAAGTTTATTTCCAAAAGCACAAGTCCAAGCCAACTCCAAGGCCTTTCCAAAGTTAGCGGAAAACTTGTGATAATCAACAGGCTTTCGATGAGAATTCGCAGGCATCTGCTTAGTGATGCTGTTTCTCACCAAGTGAAATGCAGGAGCTTTTCAAGAGCTGCTGCTTACAATTTTTGTAATAATGTTCAGAAGAATAACTTGCATTGCTAATGCCAGTTTTGTTATATCCAGCCCACTTTACAGTGCCATTTGCTGAGAACACTTAAAGAGTGTCTTCTTGGATTTTGCTCTATCACTCAGCACTTGCCTGGCAAGCAGCAAGTGTGAAAGCTCCTAACCTCCACGTCAAAGATGGAGCCAACAGAGCTGGGTAGCCACACGGTGCTTTCCCTTTCCACTGTTTCCAGCATCAAACTCAAAAATAAACTAAAAGTTAATTTCTTGCCTATTACTGTTCTTCCCTGTGCTGTCAGCAGGAATGCTAGATGACTGCATATGGGCAGGGGGACAGCCTTGCAGTTGTGCTTGAAAGAGAAAGTCACAGAGCATTTCAGGCAAGATGTGCTCCTGTCTGACCAAACAGCTGGGCATTGACAGGGGTCTCTCTCTCCAGCAGAGAGCTCCCTCCAAGCACATACCTTCCTCCTCCTAGGCTTAGGGAAGAGCAGGGCATAGCTCGCTTCTAGATGATACAGAAAAATCAAGCAAATGGTTTAGACTACTGGCTAGAGCTAGAGCCTGAGAACACAACACACACAAGGGGCTTGCCATTAAGGATAACAACCTAACTACAAACCACACTGCTTAGCAGAATGACTCTGACTTCAGCCAGAGCTTATTGCCTTACATAGGGCCCATTTAGTACAGCAGCTGATGAAGCAGACCCCTGCTTGCTCTGGCCCATCCAAAAGACCTGCTTGCTCAGCAGGTGCCAGCTGGTCTCAGCTGGGGGTGGTGCAGCTGCAGGTTTGCTCTTCTGAGTGCTACTGGCACAGCTGAGGCTGGGGGAGTTCTTGGTGCAGTGGGCCACAAGTGGGTGAGGAGTGCATTGCTTGGGATCTGTATTCCGAGAACAGTAATTCAACCTTTGCCCCTTTCCCACTGCAAAGCTGACGTTCCCCACATTGTCCCAGCAGCACAGTACCAAATTGTCTGTGTCTCTAGTGGGTTTGTATTGGGGATAGATGCGACTTTGCAGCTAGTTATGGAAGAACAATTTTATCTTACTGTCCTCTGCCATCACGGAACGTTTCACTAACAGGAGATACCTTTTATGAAGTACAGAAGTCATAGGATCATAGATCCTACGTTGGGTTGGGAGGCACCTCTACCTGTGAGCTCCACCACGGTCTCTGATCTCTCAACGGCTCCCATACACGCTCATCCCTGGCTCCTGCACAAGCCTGCACAGATTTTGGCTATGTTAAGGTTTTAGTATGTCAAGTCAGGAAGGCTGGCTGCTTCTTATCTAATCTGACTTTCAGCACAATGCAGGGTATTTAACCAGTAAATCTATCTCAGATCTTCAATTTAGGTAGGCCAGCACATACCTCACCCTTCACAAGCTGTTGCTCTCTGCTTCTGGAGATGCATCTGCCCTCAGAGAGCTGAGTGGCTCCGACCGCTTCCAGATGGAAGGAAAATCTGAGCAGTGATATCGTCTCCAGCAATCGAAAGGAATGGGTTTCCTTACCTTTTTTTGTATCTTTTCTCTTTAAGTAGATGTGAGCAGTCATAAAGGGGACATTGCTTACGGCTCTCGGGTGGCTGGCCAGGCTGACTAAGCACGCTTACCGATCCCGCACACTGTTTAGAATCACAATGAGCTGGAAACTGCGTGCCAAGACGTGAGCGATCCAGGGAGCAGTTACTCATTTTTAAGCCAGCAGTATGAACTATCCCATGAGCAATTGCAGCTCCATTATCAGGTAAAAGAAGCTCTTTTTGGCTCTTTGCCCTTTTTGTTAGGCAACATAATGCCCCCTCATTCAGGCTGATTTGTTGTAATATCGTCACCCCATAAAATTTTTCAGCTGTAGCTTGCTGGCCCACTGGTGGTTTCATCCATTTCCCAATCCAAATGCCCTTTTCTAGATACCCTCAGCAGAACCCTCTCACTTTTTATTTCCTAAGAGCTCAGAGAGGAGAACATCAGTAGAGTCAGAAAACTGTGGATGGAAATGAAACCACTAAGTATTCAGGGACCAAAAGAAAGGAAATAGCAATCTGTAATGGAGATTTTCCACGTGCCACTAGCCTGATAAGTGAATAAAAGTCCACTCAGAACAGTAAACCAAGGACACAAGCCACGAGCAATGACAGCAGCCACCAGGTTTTAAACACAGGCATATAGGCATCTCAGCTGGTAGGCTGCACAGAAATCAGAGATTACAGGCAAATAGCATCTGTAGAGAAGTGTCCATTCCCATAAACAGTACAACCAGCAGAAAGAACATCTTTTTAGCTCTTTTAAGTGTTAATGATCATTTTGGCACCTAGCAGGGGAGACCTGATACAACAGAGCCTATCCTGAAGAACACATGATGTAAAAGGTGAATGCAGAGGAAGGGAAGGGGGAACCAAGCTGCACCAGGTAAAGTAGGTGGTGATGATAATTTCAGGCTGCTAGCTACTTCAAATGTAGATACTGATTGCAGTTTTCAAAAATCTTTGCATAAAATTGGCCCCTGAATCCTTACATATCACTACATATGTAAAGATCCTGGGCTTTGAGGGGATGGAGAACCTAAAAATCAATTCTGTTTCCTTCAAGTGTTTAACTACACATATATTTGAGCTGGGATTACCAGCTGAGCACTAAATTCACACCGCTAATTTCAATTTTAATCTCAGTATTGTCTTTTGTTGAATGACATAGCATGAATAACACCAGCATTTCAAGCAGTGCAGAAGTAGCCAACTTTTGGGAAGCATTAAAAAAAAATAAAATAAAATCACGGAACCCCTGTATTTATCTCATGCTGCCCTGGCTGATCATTGTGCTGACAAGTAGGCCAGCTGTGAAACAACAGTTACTTAGGAGCAGTGGGAAAAGGCAGTGCCAGAGCAGAGCTGTGCACGGCTTTGCATGCGAGAATGAGTTAACTATGACTCAGACAGAGAGGCGAGTGACAGTGCAAGGATTCAGAGTGGGTTTTCATGGCCTAACAGCAAGCAATGTTAGTTAATGGCAGACTATCAGGAGTTAAGTACACTGTGGGTGCTGCTGCCCCTAGTTTTGGTTTTTGCCAGGTTTCTGCTCTGGCCTCCAAGTCTCATCTTGCCTCTTTTTCAAGTTAAGGAGCTGCCTTTGGAACCGAGTGGGAAGAGGCAAAGGGAAGGTCAAAAAATAGTCAGTAAGCATGGCTCCTATGCAATGCAGCTGTAAAGTATCCTTTTTATTTAGTTTTGGCTTACATTAGAGCTACATTATAATGCATAGCCATCATATTTGTAGACTGTCCTAGCTCATCCAGTTCCAGCCCCCTTGCCATGAGCCAGGACACCTACACTAGATCAGTCTGCCCACAGCCCAATCCAACCTGGCCTTGAACATCTCCAAGCGTTGCTTCTCTGAGCAACATGATCCAGGGCCTCATTCCCCTTGCAATGAAAAAATTCCTTCCTAATAACTAATCTAAATCTATTTACTCATTCTACGACTACACAGCTCGCTAGAGTCCCTCACCATCTTCCTATAGGCACCCTTTATTCCCTGAAGTCCACAATGAGATCGCCCCACAGCCTTCTCTTCTCCAGCCTGAACAAGCCCAGCTCCTTCAGTCTGTCTCCATTGGAGAATTCCTCCAGCCCTCCAATCATCTTTGTGTGGCCCTCCTCCAGACTTGCTCCAACTGCTTCACAACCTTCTTATGCTGCAGGCCCCACTGCTGAACACAATACTCCATGTAAAAAGAGGCCTACAGTGCTACTCCAATTTATAATTATTTTAATTTCTTCCCCTCAAGCCTTCCATTTTTTGTGTGACAAGCAAGTTGCGTAATATATCACTCAAAAGTTGGGAAATGCAGCAGTGAAGCCTGTTTGTACATTCTTTGATTTAAAATTGATTAATAACAGTAAGATGCACCGATGTTACACTTCACAGATAAAAAACAGCTAGATAATGTCAATACATTCACCAATCTCATTGGCATAGTTCTGCTGTAGGAATAACACGGGTAAACACAAACTGGGAGGGACAGCATGAAAAAAAGTTTCCTTCTGAATTCTGTTAGGCAACTGAGCGGACACATGACATAATTTTGTTAGTTGCTCTTGCAGTGGACTTGAATAAACAGAAGTGAATTAGAATGAACGTCTCTGGTAGTTTCAGAACACCACAAAGTTCCTGTTTGCCTCAGTTGTTGAAAGCATTAATGCAGTGCTTGCCGTTGGCCAAGTAGAGTTGAACAAGGAGGGCTAGAAGCTTCCTGAAGAAGGTGAAATGAAATGGGAGCTTGTGTTGTTCCCCTTCATGGAGACATGTCGTGCCCATCTCTTGCAGCAGCTAGAAGACTCACTGTCTGTCTCAAGAGAGTTGCATTAGAATTGGAAAAGCAACTCTTGGGATACAAGCTCATTTGCATAAAAATGCATGTATTGGGACTTTCCAGCTTGAAAAAATAAATAAATAAACCTGAGAGGGAGCAATGAAAGGCCTGCTAGGCAAAGGACAACATGAAGGGGGCCAGGGAGCAATCAGTCACCACATCTCAGTGTGAGAGAGAAAGCAGCAAGAAATGAATCGATCGGATAGTGTTTAGAACAAACAAAAAGCAATACCTCTTCACCCAACTCATAATCACATTTGGAACTCCTTGCTGCAAGATGTGGAACCTGACAGGATAGATACGTTCAGAAAATCACAAAACAAACCTGCAGAAGGATGCAAGCCATACTTTCACCACTGACTACCAGTGGCCTTCAGGCCCCATTTCATACAGCCCTCCCAAAGTACCTGAGATGGGACATTATCAGGGAAAGGATAGGCTAGATAAGGCAGCTTTAGTCTCTTACCAACAGCCAACAGTATTGGCTGTAACAACCCAAAAGATCTATGTGGTGGAAGGGCAACAGAGGGTAATAACAAAAGGATTAGTGCAAATGGAAAGGTGCTACAAAAGAAAGGAAAAGAACTCACCTAAAGTTGAATATCTAGGCTCACACAGAAAACTCCACAAGTGAGGGATCTCCAACCAGAGATTTGTTCCTTGTGGCAGTCAGACTTTAAATGAGGTCTAAGAGAGGTGCAGACAAACTCTACCTCTTGCAGACACACAGCTGAATTGCCTTCACCTGTGCTCCCAGGGCTGACCGGGTTCTTTTCTCCATGTGCTCAATCAGTGCTTTAGGCCTTGAGGCAGCAGTTACCATAGATTGTCACAGGTACAAATTCAGGAACAAAAGATGTCACTTTTTTTTTTTTTTTTTTTTAGAGGGGAAACAAAATCATTGTAAGAGACTTCTCTTTTCACATGTGCTTATGGTATGCAGACTTGGTGTGCCTTCTGCTCTGCTTCAATAGAATGAAACTTCTCATACTGTGGTTTGTTTTGTTGTTATTTCACAAACCATTTGGGCATTTGCATGGAAACCACATGGTAAATTTGTATGAAGAGTGAACCATGGTATTTCTGTCGGTGCACACAGTAGAAAAGGGAGAGCTGCTAGGAGTGACAGGGCCTGGTTTAATTCCACCTCAGAGGAACTGAGAAGTCCTCCCTCTATGGAAAACATGTTCTCTGCAACATTTAAATCTATATTTAACTTGAATTTTACTTCTTCCACTTTGGACCTAAAGAAAGGCTCGTGTACCTAAAAGTTCACTTGTGTTTCCCAGTGATAACAGTTGATTTCATATACCACCTTTATGATTTGCTCTTCTACATCCACAACAACTATAGCACTGCTAAATATATTGAAGCTTGAAAAAGGAATTTTTATCTCCCCACTTTCACATGAACCATGTCTTTCCTCACTTGCACAGGATGCTTGCCTCTTTCTAGCAAAATTGAACTTACAGTGCCTGGGAATAATCATATCAATGGGTATTTCTGGGGAATTCATTCAGAAGTTTTAAATTCCTCAGGGAATCCTTTCTGGCAGAGATGAGAAGACTGTACTGGGAACATTAACCTTAATGGATAAAATGAGAGACCTCAAACACTGCCTGTCCTTGTGGAGAAATGTGTCCTGTACAGATTTAGTGAGGAATTCAAGGAAAAATGTCCAAATATGCAAAGGTGCTATAACGCCATTTCCAGCCCACGCTGGCCTTCAGCAATTCTTCTTTTGCCCAAACTGAAATAAATTAATTATCTCCCAGAAACAAACGTTTCTCAGCTATTTGTAAACAGCTGAGGGATGGGAAGTTACACCCCTTCTACCGTGGTGTCCTTGGAGGGGATCAAATAGCTGCTGTTTATTTATCTTTACTAGCATAACCGGCTGTCAGCGGATTATCTCCTTCTGGCATCGAGATGGCTCCTTTTCACCATCAGGCAGCTGCAGAAGCAGCAGAGATTTTTTTGCTGATTTTTGGCTTTCCAATTCATCGTGCCTCTTCCTTTGGCTGTCGGTGTGAACTGCTTGGTGGGAAATCTGCCTGCCAGGCCAGCCTGTCCCGATCCTGTGATACAGTCTGGAAAAGTTTAGAGGCTCCTTCTTTGTTTTGGTATTGAGAAAAAAACGGCATGATTAGGTAGATAAACAATAGTGTCATTCCACATCCTTCCCCTGCTCAAGGTTCAGCTGCCCCCTAGATGTGCTTAGCAATGATACAGGCATGCGCACTCATGCTGGGAAGATGAGGATCATGAGGATCCCCATCCTCACCCTGGCAGAACTGTTCCAGACATACGACGTTTGCCATGGGACAGCAGCACCAGCATCTGATTGAAATAAGAGCTACGTTTTTATAGGCACTGTGCAAACAGTTAAGGAAAAGACTGAGTATTTTCACGCCTAAAAACATAATATGCAGCACTGGTATCAAGGAACTCCAGCTCTTATCCCCAGGAGAATAGAAGCCCTTTGCCAATACCTGTCTCTCTCCTATTGCCACTCCTAACCCTGAGCTCCACACATGCAAAGGGGTTACGCCGGTGCCAGAAGAAGGCATGCAGCGTTAGGATTATTCAAATACAGTCCTTATCTTCATCTGATGAAGAAAAATCTGAATGCAGTAATGAAAAATCCTCTACAAGTGCCATCTGCTTTCTCCTATTATTATTTTGCAGCACATGTAGAAAGCTCTTTGCTATTGACTTCAGCTAAGGGCATTTCAAGATGGGTCACTTGAGGGAGACTCCAGGTGGTGTGGGTTTAGGAAGGTCCCTGTGATTCATTTACCTGTGGGATCAAGGATATCTTAAGAGTGTGTGTGGGCTAGAGCAGATTGGTGCCAGGATGAGTGCCAACGTCTGCAGTGGTCCAGGGTGCTGCCTGTGTTGAGGCTCAGAACAGAGCAATTTGAAGGCTGAGATTCCTCACCTTTTTATGGTGAGGATTAGTTACACTGATTACAAGGGCACCAAGATGCCTGCTCTGGGACCACCTAAGGTTCCTCAGTCCCACGGCTGTGGATGAGACCTCAGGCTGCCACAGTTCAGAAGTACCCTTTAAGCTTTCATTTGGGCTTATGTGAGACATATCAGTTTGGCATGGACAGGACACCTCTTGGATGTCCTGCAGTGCATTGATTTTGCAAGAGGCGTGCGGGGTAGGCATGGCATTCAGAGAGATCTCCAGACCTCAGTCCAATGGCCTCAATAAAATCATAGTATCATTAAGGTTGGAAAAGACCACTAAGATCATCTACTCCAACCTGCACTTTTTTTTTAACTTCAGATCAAATACTTGGATCAGAAGAGAAGGTCAAATAAACAAAGCAGAGAAGACGAGAGACCATGAGATCAAATGAAAGCAAATAGAGAATAGACATGTAATAGATGTATATGTGATAGAGGTAGATATTCCTTTCTGTTGGTGTTCAAAGGCAAACTATACAGCTGTAGATATTTCCCTTTTATGAGAAGAAACGAGACATTGGAGTTACCCTGGGAAGTCACATACCCAGTCCTGGTGACACAGGCAGTGCACATGCTCTGGTCGAGGCAGGTAGGGGATGGCATATAGAGGTAATCACCTGGAGGGAGAGGCAGAGATGCAAAGGGGTGGCACAGACAATGAGGGAACCCCTGGAGGGCATCAGCAGAGGGTGGGTGACAGGCTGCAAGGAAAATATAACCAGAAACTGAGTAAGTTGTTTGAGAACAGCAGGCAGAAAGTGAAATTGGGCTGAAAAACGTGAAAGGGAAAGATAAAAGAAAAACAACAGAACCAGGGAGAAAGAGAGAACAAAGAGAGAAAACCAGACTGTGAAATCCACCTGAAAAGATAAGTGAGTGCCTCGCTCTGTATCTCTCACTGCAGCGAATATTTGGAGGATTCAACTTGCTGCCTAAGGCAAATTATGTTAAGTAATGGGGAGGATAATGGGGTTTACACATGGAGGGATCTTCTTCCCTCCCTACTTCTAGTTCAGTAACAAGTTGTGCCTTTACACGATGTCCTTTTTATAGGGAAGGGCTCTATGGTACATCAGGGATTTTATAGGGAATGTAAGGGCTGCAAGGGCTTGGACCAGAAAAAGTGGCTGAATGCATTCAAAAATATTTCAATGTTTAAAAAAGTTGTGTGTTCCTACTGTTGCTTGAATTTTTATTTTTTATTTTTTAAATAAAGATTCTGTTTGGATCTATTTTAGAGAAGAATTCTGATATATTCCAAGCCTATTCTCCCTTCCTCCTTTATTTCTCTCTTTCCTTCATGATTCATCCCTGATTCTCATGCTCTATTTTAGATTATTGTTCTCTTTTGTTGATTTTCTAGCTCATGGGATTTTCCCTTCCCTTCCCTTCCCTTCCGTTCCCTTCCCTTCCCTTCCCTTCCCTTCCCTTCCCTTCCCTTCCCTTCCCTTCCCTTCCCTTCCCTTCCCTTTTCTCATGAAATCTCCCTGATCCACATGAGGATTTGATTTTTTACCTTTATTCCTTCTTCTCCCTTTTTCTTTCTCTTCAGCCCTAAGTGCTCTCCTCAATGCCAAGCACAATTCCACCTTTAATTATTGCCCTCTATGAAATATCCCTTCTCTCCTGCCTCCTAATGCATAACATCTCAAATCATCCTACTTCCCTTCGTAATCTTGTATTCACTCCTCTATAAATTGCCTCCTTTCCCCTTTATCTTTTCTTGGCATTTTCTTTCCTGTCTTTCTTCCTGCCTGTATCACAGTGAGTATCCCTCCTGTCTTTCTCTGCCTCATTTCTCTTCCTTGTTTGCTTCCAGCTTTGCTCCCAGCTTTCCCTTTCTCCAATGCCCCCCTCCAGCCAATATGTCTCTGGCTTTCTCCCCTGTTTTCCCTCCCTTGCTTCTCCCCTTTCCCTTCTAGCTGGATGTCTCCTGCTTCTTCTTCCTCTGCAGCCCCAATAAAACATCATCTCCCTCCCCTCTGGCAGGAACAGGGAGTGATGGAAGGCTTGGGACCAGGAGGATGGCAGGAGCCACTGGAAGGGCACTGTAGGGGAAGAGAGAGGCAACAACAACCAGAAAACAATTGAAAAATGCACTAGAAAAAGTAAGGAGGTTCCTAGCTACCTGTTGCTGTGATAATGAGCCAGAATCACTGAATTTCTGGTCTTCTACTCAAATGTAAACCAATGTTTCTTCATCTGTATTGCAGTGGTACCCAAAGGGCATGGCAGCGTTATTCTCACACTAGAGGCCTTGCCACACTGGCAGCATTTTTGCTTGAAGGCAAAGAGCAGGGGGGAAAGTGCAGCGTGTGTGCAAAGTTGTAAGCAGGCATTAGGCAGGGGAATTCATAGCTGCTTGGTATTCCTTGATTTTCTACCAGCCCTGACACACATTGAGATGCTTGCTCACAGAAGAGCCAGGATGACACCTCCACCATGAAGACATGCTCAGCAGCTAGATATTCTCCTCCTCTCTCCACTGCTTCCCACGGCTGAACGCTGCACACTCACAGTAACAATTCCCTCACATATTCAGGAAACTCTAACCCCTGGTTTAGGTACATGAACCAGGCAGAAGGCCAGATAGACCTTAATTAGACATTATCATATTCTCACACAGTGAAGTCTTAAGATCTGCCCATTTTGCTATTCCATTTGGGCCTAGAGCTACAAGAAAACAAATAACTAGAATAAAGAGTGACTGCCTTTTCTAGGTACGTCTTCTGGCCACGTATCAGCGTGAGCCTGCTGTACCCTTTGCTGCATGTTTGTCAGGAGAAGCTAAGTAAAGGTTGTATTCACTGCTATTTGCCCTGGTTCTGTGATATGCAGCCAGTGTGAAATTCAAAGACAACTTAGAATGCTATTACCAATCCTACTAATGACATTTTTCCCTCCCTTCGTTTAGTACAAAGCAAATCATACCTCAGGTGCTTAATTTTCTTCTAAAAAAAATTAAGACATTAAACATATTTGCTTTTCAGCTCCCAAATAATCCACCTCTGATGCAGTGGTTCTGACTTCCTAGCGACTGCCTGTCTAGAAATATTTGTGAAAGCAGCTCTCTGCACAAACATACCTTCAGGATCCAATCTGAGTGAGTACTTCCTGTGCTGCAGGTTGGTCGTGAAGTAGAAGGGTTGCTGAGTAGACTTTGGTCCTTACAATTGCAATTGCTTTCTAAAGAGCAGGAAGTTTCCTCAGGCAGCAAAAATATGTTAGCTTCATCAGCAAGACAGCACAGATTGAGGCTGCTGGCACTTAATACATGCAAATTGACAGGAATCCCAAGTCACCCATCCAAACTAGCTCTTCTGAAGGCAGCACTCTGTGCCTTGCCTCTCTCAAACCTTCCACAAGTGCTGACCAACTCTTGTGGCACCAGGCTAGCTGTGGAACGAACTGGTGAAACACTGACAGAGACTTTTGTGCTAAAAAGGATCGTGACTTTTGTAAAGCTGCATTTCAATGACATAGTAAAGCAGAGGAAAACATGAAGTAAAGCAACCTATGCAGTCTTTTCTAGTGCCTTGCTTGAGCGATAGCCGAATCACTGGATTTCTCTGCCTACTCTTCCTTATGCAAACAAGGGGAAGTGATACTTAGTCATTATTATAATATCTAGGGATGCAAATTACTGTGTCAATGATTACTGTTTGTTCTCAAAATACATTCCATTTCCCTTTATCCCATTTACAACACGGCATTAGTCACTTCCAGTGTTACAGAATCATAACCATTCATTCCTTGAGATGATGTGCTACTTTCCCTAAAAATAAAAGCATCTCTTAGAGGTAGGCCATTGTTCGACACTAGGGCATACAGGATCAAGTTGCTTAGATACTAGGGTGATGAAGGCTGTTAAGGACAGAGGTGACCAATAAACAGCAATAAAAACTGCATAATATATTGAGGATACAGCAAATGCTTGTCTAATGTAACATCTGATGGCTAATGAGGATTTGTAACTCATTTGTAAGAACAGCTTTATTTTTTGCAATGATACTGATTGCATCAGGAATTTCATACTACTACAGAATAGTACATAAATTAAAATCATACACAACTATTAGCACACATTAGTATGCTTCCTTGCAGGGGGTTCTACAAAGTGAGGAAACATCTTCAAGAATCAACCTACATTGTCATATTTTTTGCAAAGGAGTTTGTCACAGCTATACGGGTATTAGACAGTGCCAACATCTCCCTCACTGAATCTGGGATCGTAAAAAGTCTCTGATTTCTGTCTACATATTGTCTTAGCAAGGAAAGAAAACGTTTTCTTGAAACTTGGCTGAATATTGAATGAGCTTTAATCACTGGGACGCAGAAGACAGTTACTGAGGTTATGGTTGCACACAAAATTGCAGTGATTGAAATGAAGATTGGAAACTGACAGAATTGTTCAAGCCTGTATCTGTCTCAGATCAGGTTCCATATACCCTTCTTCATGGGTAAGAGGTAACACGTCTTGATTCTTACACAGTTTTCACACCGTTCCACATGATGGTGTGGCCCCTTAGCAAACAAAGAAATACAGGTAAGATGAAATCCACAAAAAGTAGGTGCATGACTCATTACAAAGATACCTTTGGAAACATTTATCAATTGTTCCTTGTCATTCGGAGAGGAATTTTCAAACGGGGTTCTCCCAACATCTGTGTGGAATCCATTTTATGCAGTATTTTCATTAACAACCTGTGACAAGGGAATAAAGAGTACTCATAAAATCTGCAGACATCGTCTAGCTGGGAGAGGATGCAAACAGTTTGGCGGATGGACTGAGAATTCAAAATGATCTCGCTAAATTGGAGAAAATCAGCGACTCAGTAAAGAAAAGTACAAAGTGCTACACTTAAGAGAAGGAAATCAAAAGCACAAAGAGAAAATGGGGAATAAACGGCCAGACAGCAGCACGGCAGAAAGGCAGCTCAGGGTGTGAGCCATGGACTGAATAGGAGTCAACAGTACCATGCTGTTCCAAAAAAAGGCAAAGCTAATGCTGGCTGTTGGGCGTGTGACACATCAGGTACCTGTTTTGCCCCTCCTCGCACAGGAAGGCTGTACACAAACTGAACATCTCAGAGCTGAGCAGCAAATCTGAGAAGAGGTTTTGAAAGCGTGTTCTGTGAAGAAAGATTCAGAATTGCTTAAGAAAGGTGAGATACATACAGAATAGTATGGTCATTGTTGGCTTATCAAAATGAAACTTTTTCTCTGACCACTGGGAGCAGGTTAAGAAGACATTTCTGCTTCAGATCAAGTACTCAAGTAATGCATGAAAACCACTGCCATTTAGTTACAATGTTGTTCAGCACGTTGTGACAAACTTCATCGGGGAAATCGTAGGTTTGCTCAGGCCTGCCAGCAGGCAGCTAATGAAGGATGAAGATGGAAACAAGCCCAAGGCGTATGTCCAGGGTGGCCACAATTGAATTGTGCCACCCCAGGAATGAAGACAAAATGATTTATTTTGTTACAAAGCCTGGAGATGGCAATATTTAGTTTGACAGTGAGGGCAGAGCAACTTCCTTCTATCTACTAAATTAGAGAGAAACCCTGTGGCAGCCGGTGCAAAAAGGCCATGAATTAAGTTCCCAGCCCCTTCTGAAGCTCCGTCTGAACATCTTGGTGAGGAGATCCCAGGAGGTTTCTGGGGAACAATAAAAAGTGCCTAAGCTCTCACCAGTGCAGAGTCTCTGCTTTTAGTCTCTTGTGCCTTGCCTACATCCATGTGGACATATTGTGTTTCCGTACCCATCAGTCTCTGTTGTGATTTAACTGGAAATAAAAATTGACAAAATTTTCCTCCTCTTTTTCAGTTCTCCCTAGAGCTGTCTGCAGTTTCTTTGAATACTGGAGTTTTGAATTTCATTAAGGAAACAAAACAATCAAAAACACAGAATGATTTTGGAACCCACTGAGTTTGTCACCGTTTCTCAACTTGGAGAAGCAAAGTATAGCCAGTGCTGAGTTGCAAACAAGGTTCTGCTATCCTCCGCTGGCCACATTTAGTTAGCAATGTGTCCTTTCTTCTAGATGACGTGGGAGTAGAAGATATATATTTGCCTTTGAAAACAATCAAGAAGCATAAGGTTCTAGTAAGAGTTGTCAATCTGGGATGCTTTTTGGAACTCCATTATCACGTAGGAAGCAGCATCCTCTAGCTGGAAGGATGCAAAAAACCTGAATTATGCTCTTTGCTGTGGAGTAGGAAAGCAGATGAAATAGTGTAGCAAAGGAGTGAATGGCCCAGTGGGCCGGGGACTTTGCTGGGCATGTAGTAGGAACTGGGACTTATTGCACATGCCACATAGAATCATAAAGGTTGGAAAAGATGTCTGAAATCATCTAATTCAACCATCAGCCAGCCCATCCCCACCATGCCCACTAACAACAACCCTCAGTGCCACATCCACATTTCTAACACCTCCAGCGATGGTGAATCCACCACCTCCCTTGGCAGCCTGTTCCAACTCCTCACCACTCTTTCTAAGAAGTTTTTCCTAATATCCAACCTGAACCTCCCCTAGCACAACTTAAGGCACGACACTGTGGGGAAATCATTGCAGCTGCCCCTGCATCACAGCATCTCCAACTATAAAATGAGATCATGATTCTGGCTTTTCCTTAAGACTAACTTTAACTTTCCTTATAAAGAACTCACAGGCCTACAGATGATAACTTCTAGATAGGAGATAAAACATGTTCTGTGGCCCCCTTTTTTGGTAATAAGCACATTTCAGAACTCCAGTAGTTAGGTGAAACAGTTTTGGATGCTATTATTCAAAATGTGTTGCTAGAGCAAAAAAGAAAAAAGAAGCAATTCATTCCATTTAACTGCAAAAATTGCAAAATTAAAAGTTAGCAAAGCAGCCATCAATGTTCATGATACTACATCTCTTTCACACAGAAAATGATCGTATCTGAAGCACCCCATAGAATTAACAAAATACTCAAATTGAAAACAGATTTTTTTTCAGACCTTCTGACTTAGAGTTAACTTCATCCATTAGCAGCAGTGTGACTGCTCACTAAGGCCTGAGACCAGTCCACCTCAGCATTCACTGGACTGAAAAATTTGCTATAGCCCAACCAGTCACAGTAACTGATACGTCAAAGAGGTGCCTTGTGATCGCAATTCAAGGCAGTGCATCTTCCAGCAGTTAAGCACTCTGATATGTAAGCAGAGAAACAACGCAAGACCACAGATGGAGCAGTTCCACCCAGGGAACTGATTCTCCAGAAAGGCTCAGAGCGCACAGCGTTTTTGAGATTCTCTTGCAATTAATTGGCTTCTCTTCTTGTGACGCCACCCTTCCACTCGTAGGCTGAAGCTCACGCGCCGGCCCCGACATGCTGCCACACGTTGAAGAAGATAACAAATATTGATCTGTTTTACTCTCTTTCTGCAAATGCCCACACAATTGCGTTTAGTCAAGGAGCATTTGAATTGTCGTGGAGATGTAGTACCTTTGTGGCTGGGTTGCTTTTTGTTTTCCTGAGATTGACTGGAGCTTAAGAAACAGTGTTCCTTTTCTAGCTCTGGGGCTTTGTTCCCATCATCTTCCAAGAATCGTTTTTCGGTTCTAAGAATTATCGAGTGCTGAGCTGGTTTCTGGTAGAGACGGCAGAGCAGATGAACTTGACCTGGAACATACTGATCCTGTTGAATATTTCTGATGAAGTATCCCGTTGTTTTATTTCAGCTAGGAACAAAAAACTTCATTTCTTCAAGGTGAAAATGTCTCATTTAAATCATCCTAAGAACACGACCGTGAAGTTTGGCTCTTCAGATTTGTCAGAATAAGCCCACACTGGCCTGCTGGCACCACTCTCCCTAATAACACTATTTCTCTGTGCAGGCAGTTGCTTGTGAAACTCAGCTTAGTCCTTTCACAGCACCCTCTTAGCACTTTCCGAAAGCCATTTAGCACTTAGCACAGTAAGCAATATGTGGCCAAGAAGATGGGAATATAAGAGGGATATATTGGGGACTACTGCTGTTTGAGGGAATTTGTGTGTTAAAGCAGATGATAGTATCAGAAACAGTAATTAGGTACCGTGGCAGACAGCAAAAAATAGGGCTAAGTATCTCCAGACTCTGATTTTGACACCTTTCTAAGCAAATCAAAATCAGCAGTCACCAGAGCTCAGTGGGATCTTTGTATTTAATCTGAGTGTAATTGATTTGAACTTAGTATCTTTCAAAGAACTAGTTGGCCATCCAGTTATTTCCCCCTTTAAATAAGTATGAGCTACGTGGCAGTAAAAAAGTGCCTGTGAAATAAGTATCTGTTAAAAGGGATATCATGTTTGGTGAGCTGTTCCAGGATAAACCACCCATTAAAAGTTTCCTGGTTCATTCTATTGCACAGCAAGTTTGCATGCCCATGATTCAGACTTCAGACACCAGGAAGTATTCCAAGTCCAGTACTCTGCCTGCTGCACTGAGCTGCAGGTGGATGCTCGGCAGTGGCTGGGAAAGCTCTGCCCACCTTCCACGGCTTGAACAGCTCAGCCTGTGTTGTTCTTAACAATCCTTTGTATTTAGGTCCTTCATATTTCAGTTCACAGCCTGTTTTCTGTTTAGCTCCCACCAAATGCAATACACAAACTTAGCCCACTCAGCTCTGCTGGCACATTTTGAACCCCTTCTCCTCATGATCTTTCGTAACTTAGCACTAGCGTACAGATTCTTCACTGATCCTCCCTGCTCCTCTTTGTGCAGAATTTGCTCCCTCTGTATTCTGGAGACAAGTTGGCAGCCCAAGGAGCGTCTTCAGTGCAGAAACAGCAGATCCAAGCAGGTGGTGAGGTCACATCAAAGATAAATCATTAAAGATACAGACAATGCATTGGCACCGGTGACCAACTCTCATGCACATGAAGAACTTGTCCTTATGCACCTCCTTCTTCCCTCCATACGACTCAGATGATCTGCTACTGCACACAGCGCATTGCCAACTGTGTGTGTATTAGCCAGTTCAGTCTGCTGCCATCAAGAACATTAATGTCTGTGAAAGCTTCCGTGTTCTTATAATCATCCATTACCTACTACAAGGTCTGGAATATAGAGCTTTCCTCTTACTCACCTTCTACAACCCTCCTATAAATCCTGTTTTTCACAATGGCGGGGAACAAACCTGCGGAAACTGGATTAACTCCACACTTGTCTTCTATTTCCAAGTTCTGTTTAGATTTCGTTTTAAAGGAGTAGGTGGTTTTGCAAAAGATAGCTGTTCGATACGATTCAGAACATGACTCAAAAGACTACAGGAGTGGAAAGAATGAATTCCTCGCTTATCCCATCCTCCTGCACTGCAGCCCTAGGCTCCTGCAGGGAACAGATGACACGACACCATCAACATAATGGTGCACAGCAAGCAGGAGTGCTTCTCACCGCATGGCCACATTGCTGTCGGAGCATTGGAGACGTACCGGAGCCAGTTGCCAGCGAGCAGCTCCTACCAGTACGGCCATGGCTACTGGGGCTCAGCGCCCGGGCCTTTTTTGCAGCCCCTCGGCAAGGCTGTAGCTGCTCTCCTACACTTGTTAGTATACCCAAGATGTCAACTAAAACTGCACTGCTAACCACTGCTACACCTGAGTTAGCGACAGCTTTCCCAGGTAACAAACGCGAAACCTCCTGGAGAGCTAATTGGTGCCCTTGGTTATCTGTTCCTTCAAGGTTTTCTTCCACGCTTACATCTGCTCCTGTATCCAGCAGTGTTTGTGTACCGCCCAGGGCAGCTTTACTCAGCTGGCTTCTGTTGTTTTTGATCTTTAAATACAAGGGGAAGGTTCACACAAGCGCAGAACCACAGACGGACTTGGGCTGGAGGGACCTTAAAGCCCACGCCGTCCCACCGGTGCCATGGCAGGATTGCCACCCATCAGCTGGGCTGCCCAGCGCCACAGCCAACCTGGCCTCGAGCACCTGTAGGGATGGGGCACCCACAGCTCTCCGGGTAGCTCTGCCGGCTCCTCGCCGCCCTCTGGAGAAGAACATTTCCCTAACACCCAACCCGACCCTTCCCTGGCGCATCTCCACGCCATTCCCTCGGGTCCCGCCGCTGTCACCAGAGGGAAGAGACCCTCGCCCAGACTCGCGCCGCGATGATGGCGGCGCACCCAGCCCCGCCCTCCGCCCGACCGCCATCTCCATGGCCGTGCCGGGGGCGCCCCCTGGCGGCGGCGGAGCGGAGCTGCCCCGCTCGAGGCCTAGAACGATGCAGTACCGACCTCCGACCGCCAGAGGGCGCCGTCTCCCCGGGCTGTGGCTGGGGATGCGTGCCTGCGCACTGCCGCGTCCCGCCTGCGTCACCGCCCCGCGGCGCGTACAGCGCTCCAAGATGGCTGCTGCTGTCAGTCGGTGGTGCGTGGGAGCGCTGCTCTGTGCGCGCTCTGCTCTCGGTACGATGGAGAGCACAGGGACAGGTTTCCGAGCAGAGCAGCCTGTCGGCCCCTGCACAGCTAGCTCTGTGGTAAAATGAAGAGATTTTGCAGTGAAAATACAAAAAGAGAAGGAAGAGAAACGGTCCTTCAGAGGATAAAGGTTAAGGTGCCATCCTGATTTCTGAGCAGGCTTTACCTCCACGGGCCAAATGCATGATGAAGGCAGTTTGAAAACCCGAGTGCCGAGGCGGTCAGGCCATGTGACAGAGCCTCGTGCTGCTCCGCTTCCTTACAGTCGGAGGAAGGCGCAGTAAGACGGCAAGCTGAACGCCTCATGCTGCGCTCACAAGCCTTCGGAGCTGACAGATGTTTCCTCCGGGGCTGTTATTCCAAACACCTCCACCATTTATATAGCCACACAGGCCGCGTGGGTGGAATTGGATGTCGCAGACAGGCTGAAAATAACTCAGACTCCGATACCTACTGGCCCGTGTGGAAAATCTCAGAGATCACGTTGAATCACAGGGTGCGTGGCTGGCAAATGCACCAAGAGGCACAGATGGAGCAATGGTGGGTTAAAGCGAGGTTGAGACACTGTGATGAATGCCAGCAAGGACTCCATAGTAGCATCACGCTCAGCAGAACCAGCCTGGCTTAGCCTGCATGGCTGCTTTGTTAACGCCTAGAGCAGCATATGGAGGAACAAAATTGTTCAGAAGGATCTTTATTTCTTATACAATCATCATTAGAAGTGGACAGAGTGGGCTAAGATGGAGTGTACTCAGGTGAACTCAGAGTTTCCTGCTTTGCTCCGAACACAGAGCCCAGAGAATTTCACCCAGCTGCTTGGTCATTCCTCTGAGCACAGGCTGGCTTCCTTTGGGCACATCTTAGAACCAGCACTCACTGTGAGACGCTAATATTTTCCAAGGCTGTCCTGTTCATCCATGCCAGCCTCTAGAGGACAGGGAGAAGCAGTGCGAGAAGGGCCCAGGCACACTCAGCCCCACCCTGCGTCTACCAGCATGACATCCATAGCTGCCAATGTAAACGGCATGAGCAGGCACCTTGATTCACAGCTCTGGAGCAGAAGCCATCAATGAAGAGCAGCAGAGCTTTAGTGACTTGCAATGAGCTAAATACAGGGCTTTGGTGGGGATCCCTTGGAGGATATTCCCATACTGAGAGAGAAGATATCCACAATTCCTGTCAGAGCTCCTGCTGTAGCACAGCTTTGGCACATCATGTCTGCACTGAAAACTTTTTATTTATCCTAAAAATTATCCTCCACAGTTTGTTTTTCTCTTGCCTGAGTTCCTCCCAAACATTAGTCTCAATTGCACCACTCTCTTAAAACACCTACAAAGGCTTCAGCCAAAGGGTTTTCATTTTTAGGATGTTGAACAAATAATTTAGCCAGCACTCAAAAACTTTGTGCTGGTAAATGGCGCCATGCCCTAAGAGAATTAATTTGCCTATTCACACTGCAGGACTTTCCTGCTCCCAGGGGCCTCAGTCCAGACCACACTTCCCATGTTTCAGCCTGAGACTCCCAGCCCCACTCTTGCAGGAGAAAAATGCTGCTGCTCTGAAAAAATATGGGTGAAACTCTAAGCGGCACAGCAAGAACAGAATCCAAGGCCTTGAGCTGGTTTGCTCTCAGGCAGCTCATTCCAAACTTGACTGTCCAGAAGTTTGAATTAGGTCAGCACGATAAGCAGCATAAAAATGCCATTCAGTCTGGGAGGGTGTTAGGTCCATTTGTTCTCATAATGTCCCAGTGTGCTTGTGCAGCTCCTCTGATCCTGAACGAGCCTTTTGCTATAGTGGAAAAAATAACATATGATGCAATTGTTACTTGGTGGTGTGTTCGTTAGGTTTTTTGTTTTGCTTTAAGAAAGGCCTCCCAATTCTCCTGTTACTACTTCCCAAGAAACTTGGTGTTGTTCAGTAAGCACTGTGTAAATATGCAACTCTCTCTAAATGAATAATCAATAGCAATGATAACAGCAAAGTTCTCAGCCCAGCTCTGGTAATAACTCATGGCTGCTAGCTTCTTGATAAGATCACTTGCATGCACAGCTGCCTCCTCTCCGTATGAGAGCACAGGGAGCAAAACAGAAGATATTTGTGTTCCCAACAAGAAGGGAAACACTGAAAACATATTCCTTCCAGAAGGTGACAATTGTGGACAACAACCTGAAGAGCTCTTAAAAATATATGACGGGGCCTCAGCCCCAACACTGAGCTCTGTGAACACACACTTCCTGTTCTAGGAAGTTAGAATCTTTGCAAGCATCTCCTTGATAAGAGTATCCTTTTTTTCATCTCTCTTCACAAACAGATGAGAAAGGGGAATTCCCAGTGGGTTAAAGCACAGAGGGAGGAGCTGGTGCAGCTGTGACTGTACTGGTAGTGCCACCACTGGACTGCAGTTCACAGGGCACATCCTGGGCTGCACTGCACTCCAAGCTGTGTTGGGACCCCACTTACTGCAGCTCTCCTACTTAGAACATCCCACAGCTCTTCAGGCAGGCAGGTAGAAGGGCTTCAGGATTTTTACAAGCTGGATTGGTGCCACTGGCAGTAACCAAACCTATGCCATTTAAAAATAGCTCGTGTGCAACCAATGGCTAAGTATCAGCTCGCCACCCCCCACCTTCCAGCAAAGCGGTTCCCTTCGTGGTGGAGCTGTGGCAGACAGCTGAGGTTGGCTCCATGCAGTCTGCTTCTCTTCCACCACGTCCCTTTAATCCTGGTTTAGGGTTCCCAAATGGTTTATGCCATCCGCCTGGCCTCCACTGTGACCTCTCCAAGGAGTTCACCAAGAGGCAGGAGGCTGCAGACAATCTCTTCCTTGCCCTTCTCTGTCAGGAAGCCCAGCTTTACAGTCACCTTTGGGCTTTCTCTTTGCCTCATTTCTGCAGTAAATCAAGCCCATCTGCACATCAATTCCTTCCTATCAGCTTTTCCCTCACCTCTGCCTGCTGACCTATCCTTAGATTCAGCGATCTTCAGCATGGGAAGAATCCTTCAGATCCCAAAGGGAGCACCTCACTGTTAAATAACAGCCGCACAGAAATAATCACTGGGGGCTGGCAGGGGCTCGAAGTCTTTGAAGCCATCTTCCCGCCCATCCCGAGGTGAAGTCACCCAGAGAAAGCTGTGCTGCTCCGGACCAGGATGCTCAGCCTCCCCAGCAGCCCCCTGCGACCCAGCAGACCTTCCTAGGAAGAAAGCGCCTTTCCTGAGCGCGGCCCAAACCCTTTCTCCTGCAGATTAGAGCAATTACTGCTTGTCCTTCTCCTAGCGGATCTGGCTCTGGCGAACAATCGATCGCAGCCTGCTTTGCAGCAGCCTTTTATATAATAACAAGACAGCTTTTAGAGTAACTGAAAAAGAGGCGTTTTCTCACTTGCAAAGTCAGGACATTCCCTGCCAATGAACATTCTTTGTTGGAGATCCTTTGCCAGCATAGGCTGAGCACTAAGCCCCACAATCTGCATTTTCCTTTTGAATGACTCCCGCAAAATAAACCAAATAGCACATCCAACGAGATTTATTACATCCCTTCCAAGGGCGAAACATTCCTCAGCTGCATTCCACTTCTGTCTTTTGTGCTTAGGAAAGGGGAAAAAAAAATATCTCTGTGATGCCTCTGGATCCCACCCCTCGAGGGCTTCTGTCATTAATAAAGGCGTGCAACTGGAGCCAGACTTCAGGCTACTTCTGAATGGCTGGCGCAGGGCTCACGGCGAGAAATTCTGCCTCTGCGAGAGGGAGAAGAAATCGTGGCACCGCACTTCTTGCTGCCAACACCTTTTGTTGCTCTGAGTGACGCCCTGTCCCTGTGGCACAGCTGCCAGAATGGATCTTCTCACTTCCCAGCTGCTCCGGCTTCCCCTGCTTCTGCATGATGCAAGAGTTTGCAATGGTTTTCGGGAGCTCAGGCGTGCTCTCAGGGACACAGCTTGAAGCGATGGCTCTCGCAGCTTTGCAATGAAGCTTTTATCCAGATGTGTAAAGGAGGATACCTATAGATGGAGGGCAAGGGGGTGAAACCTTTGTTATGTTATCTCAGCTTAATTAAGCTTCTCCCTAGGCAGTCACTAATTGATTGACCCCAGGACTACAGAAGGGAGCAAATTTACCAGAGCTCGTTAGAAGAGCAAAGGCAGAATTATTTTTTTTTATTTCAAAGATGAATATCTCTGATTGCTGCCTTGCAGTAAGTAACCAGTGAAACAAACACCTCTCAATGAATGCTGGTAGGTGGATTTGGCTGCTTAAAGCCAAACGAGAGAAGAGTTGCATCCTCATATACCCTTTCATCATCACTGTGTGCCACCATTTAAAGGTATTGGTGAATTAAAGCTCTGATACTCCTTTCTGCCCCAGCCTAGGCTGTGCTAACCAACACATAAGCAGGCCCAGCGGGCATCAAACACCTCTCTGCTTCACATTTCCCAAAAATGACTAAAAAAAGAACCTACCCCAAAGCAAAAGTCTGTTTATCTGCAGTGAGACATGGCCATTGCAGCTGGCAGCTCCTCAGCAACCCTGGGCAACACACACCACATTATACAAAAAGCAAAAGGGAAAAGATGCCATGCCCACAGGAAGCAGCAGGAGGAACAAAGGTGAGAGGAGCAACCCTTCCTGAAGCATCCCCTACCCATCCCGAACCTCCTACCTCACAAAAAAAAAAATGTCTGAGATCATTCCAGTCCAGCAGCATCCAGATCCACCTTCTGCCTCTCAGCCTTACCCAGCTCCTCAGTAGCACAGAGCAGAACACACCCTGAGCAGCAGCTCCCATTCAAAACACTACAGCTCAGGACACTGCTGGTAGGCCTCCTCCACCAGCACCAACTTCAGCTTTTCGTTGGTGATGTGTGACCCTAATAAGCTGCTGGCCTTACAGGTGACAGAATTTCGTTGAAGACTGGCTTTCAAAACCAGCCCAGCTGAAGCTCTTCATGCTGCTTGGTGCCTTATCTTTCACAGTGGTTCCAATGAGGCTTAAGTCAGTTCAGCTGGGCTTTGTGACTAGTAAGAGTATGGAGGGAAAGCCCTAGCACACAGTAACCTGAAGGAGCTTCGTGAGTGCTCTGGTTGTGAGGAATTATGCATTCTCCTATCAGCAGCTTCCCCTTTTTTTCCATCACTACAATAGACTGGTGTCCCATTCCCTCGTGTTCTCCACCCGTGAACAAGATGGTCCTCTCTCCCTCCTGAAGAGATTTCTGTACGTTCTGAGAAGCTTTGCAGACAATTGAATAGAACACTGAGCCATGGATGACTGACATCTCTCCTGCATGGTGAACACAACTTTGCAGTCATGGCTGCCTCTCCCCACCTGTGTTTGTCTTCAGGCTCTGAGTGCTTTGGAGTTGCTGTTTTTCATCATGTTCAACATCAGTTTACAGACAACTCCTGACTTTCACCCTGCATCCAAAGGATGCTGCTTTGATTATCTGGGTTATGCCATGGCTGCAAGAATTAGTCTCAAGGCATTAGGAATTAGTCTGAGGAACAAGGAATTAGTCTGAGGAACAGAAACCATTATGAAATGATGTTTGCCACTGAAGAAACCTGACCCTGCAGAAGAAGGTGTTACTGAGGAAGGAGAGGAAGCCTTGTGCCTCCTCTATGGAGTGTGTGGGCTTCTCCATGCTAAGACCCTCACAGCCTTCCCCCTCCTGCCTGCTCTGCAAGCTTTCTTTTTTTCTCTCTCCCCAACCACACCCACTATTTAACCATTTAGACATAAAAATAAAAAATAAAAAACCACCCAACCCACTAGACAGAGGGTTTGCTGAAGAGGGGTAATTTTAAAAGTAAGTGTTTGAGGTCAGCGGGTAATTGTAACATTGGGACTACGTGAGCCAAGACAAAAATAATCTGCTGGTATCTGGTCAAGGAGCAGCGGACGGCAGCCTGCTGTGAGGGAGGGCCCACTCCCACGGGGGGGACCCGTATGTCCTCTGGTGCCATGTAAGGGCAGAAACGAGCCTCCTAAGTGCCTGGCTGTGCCCTGTGCTGCCCCTGAGGGGGCAATGCAGGTAGGTTTGTCATTCTGGCAAGACAGTGGCAGCCCCCATTACCTGGAACTGACGATATTAATCATAAGGGGGGGGCAAAGCAGCAGAAGCCCACAGAGGTCTGTGATTTTCCTCGATCCGGAGATGGCACGGATAGAAAACTAGGCAGCTTCTCTTCTCTGTAATTCCAGGGACTGCGTTGCACTCACGTTTGCTCTCAGATAAATGTACCATGAAAATCAGGCTTGTTTTACTGTGAAAAAGTTAAATATAAAAGGAGGGAGCACACCTGTATGTTGCGTGCCAGTGGCCAGGGGTGTAGAGCTGTACCCGAATCAATGCCACTTGTGCTTGCCTTGCAGGACACTTAGCCAAAAAATTCTCCAAGTTTTCACTGCCGTTCAGCATTTCCCCTTCCCAAACCACTGTCTGGCCATGAAAGGGATTTATTTTTAATCGGAGGCCAGCAGTGGCTGCAGGGGTCTTTACTTTGTGACCTTCAATTCTGTTTCTAGGAGGAGACAGTGGGTTTCACTACCTTCTTGCTGTGGCCACCGTGGGTCAGCCCTTCCCAGAACAAATACCACTGCTGCAGGAGGGCTTGCTGCTTCCCCTTTATTTAAGTACTGGTTACACAGCTCCTCCAGAATCTGTTGCAGTCGTAAACCATGCTCTAGGGATGAACAATTTAGGGTTTGGAGTCATCACGGACCAGCCGTGGAGACCTCATGCAATTGTTTTTTCATCTTACACCCACAGTTTTGCTAGATGAGAGCTGCAGCAGAACCCAGGGAGTCTCTGACTTGAATTTGAGTTGGGAAAGACGCACAAAAGAAAGGAATTTGTGTTGTAAATTAGATTGCTCAAATTTCAGTGATTTGTCATGGAAATGTGGTTCAATCTTTGCAGTCATAAAAATCTTTCGCATGTTCCAACCCTTCTCATGTTTTTAACTTCCCCGATGTGACACGGTGCAGCAACTGCAGGAGGTGAGGTTACTTTCAAACCATCTGTGGCAGCAAACAAACTCAGCACCCCAGCCGGAGAAGCATTAAACCTGCACAACGAGGATTAACATAACAAATGTTCTCTGGTCCTACTGATCTATGTTAGGAGATGGGATGTTTGGCTCGAGGTGTATTCTGCCCCTTCTGAATGCTCCAGCAGGATGTGAGCCTTTGCTGCTTCGACCTGCCACTGACTGCTCCCTCTGCCATTGCTGCTTTGCCAGCTGGAAGCTGAAACGCTGGTGTGACCGTACCTCAATGTGGGGGCTGAATGCTTCCCTGAAGTGCGCCCCCAAAGTGAAATCTGTCATCTGTGGCTCGGGCTCTGAGGGTGGTCTAAAAATAAGAGGGTTGAAACCAGCGAGCAGTGGTTTCTTGTGCCTGCATCGTGGCCAGAGAGTACTTCCAGCCTGTCCTCTGCCACCACCAGAAGTCACCCAAGGAGAGTGCAGGGAAGGTGAGGATCTCCCACATTCCCAGCATCCCAGGACACTGCAATAGGAAATACCCTGGATGTCCCACAGCGCCTGGAGAAGGAAACAGATCTGGGAATGCTGTTATCCCTATCTGCCATCCAACCCTGAATCTCCCGTTCCTGGAGACACCGGAGATGTGGGCAGTGGACTCCCGACCCCCTGAGGAGGCTCTCCCCTGCGTGGCTGCCCGCAGGCACGCTCTGCTCCTGTTTGGGCCCTTCAGGGCAGGCAGGAGCAGGGCAGGGGAGCTGGCTGCGTAGCGACATTTCTGCATCTGTTGCCATGGCAATGAGTGCTTCAGGCTGAGCAGCACAGCGTCTCCCCGAAGTTGTGAGCCGAGCTCGGCTTTATTTATTTAAAGCCGACCGTAACAAGCGATAGAGAGAGAGAGGCACGTTCCAGGTCCCCCACGCAGGCCGTCGCCAAATGAGTCAGAGGCACCGCAGGCTGTAATCAGCCCACCTGACGTCAAAGCGCTCCATCAGAGAAAACTGCCGCCTGGAAATGTCAACATGCCCAAGTGGAAAGGCCAGGAGGTAAATCTCTTCCTGTGCTCGCTCACCCAGCGGGAAGGAACAATTAAAATTCGATCCCCAGAAGCATCCTAACAGCAATCAGACTGAAGGCTTTCCGTCTCCTCTCCCTCTCATCCTGCCGTTAGCCGTGTGGGGACAGTGCCTTGCAGCCTGAAGGACCTTCCTGATGCAAGCCCCGGGTCCTGTGGAAACGAGGTGCCGTCTCCACAGCAGGAGCAGGCTCTGGGTTCCCTGCTGGGACCCGCTCCTCCTGCGCACCCTTGTGCCACCACCAGTGGCCATGAAGCTTGCCTGAGGAGGATGGGAGGAAGAAAGGAGGGAAGGAAGGAAGAGATGTAAACCACAGCGCTTCAGACCAGGGCAGCTTGCCAGCTCCTCCAGAGCTCTCCCCAAGCCTGGCAGCCAGTTCTGTGAGGTTCTGATCTTCCCAAATCACTTAACACTTCTCTCCCTTTTATTTTTGTGCTAAATTGAAGCGTTTTGCTTTGGTGGTCGACCCTGGCAGTGTGCCCCAGACATTACGCCAGGCGCACTTTTGCTCTGGGAGATAAGCCTGTAATGAAGGCTTCCTCCGCCGTGTCCCTCATTCTCCATTTGTGAAAGTCTGTAATTACCACTGAGGGGCGAGGCAGACAGGACTGAAACAATGTCATTTGAACTGGAGTGAGATGTGCCTGAATTACTGGGTTGTGCTTTTCTCCTCCGTGGGCTGCTCCCGGATCCGGAGCTCACTGTTAACCCCTGGCAGGGTGGAGATGCTGTCCTTGCTCCCAGCACAGCCTGCTGCTACTGGGGCCTGTCCTGTTCTGTCCTGTGCCACGGTGTGAGCACCCACAGCCATTCACGTGCCCCAAATACCTCCTGTTGCCTGTTCCCAGGCCCTGAACTTCCAGTCCCCACCTGCTACTGCTGGCTCAGATAAGCTGGGATCTCTCCAAGGGCCTCAAGTCCACCTCAGGAAGGATAACTACAGCACCAAGCTCTGCAGCATCCCTGTCATTCCCTGCATAGTGCCAGGGTGCTCACAGAAACCACAGCATTCATGTATCCCTACCATATGCAAACACAATTAGTAAGCTCTTCATCTTCCCCTGCACTTCCCCACAACAGGGTCACAGACACCCGTTCCCTGCTGCAGATGGCTGAGCTGAGTGTGATTCCCAGCAGCAGCAGCAGCAGCAGCAGCAGTGTGCAGGTACCTGGCTAGGGCTGGGAGCAGCTGCAGGATGCAGTACTGGGATCCACTGCTGGAAGGGAACCCAAATAGAGCTGGATCTCCTGGCTGAGGAGGGGCTGTGGGACGGAGGGCAAGAGGCAGCTCCAGCACCCATGAATCCTTCCTCAACTGTTGCCTCTTGCTAGAAGGTGATTTTTCCAGACTCCACTTCGTGCCATCACTTTTTCACAGGTCTTAAATTGTTCCCACAGAAACTAAATGAAGAAATCACAGCCTGAGTACTGGGTCTGCAGCTTCTGTGTCCTGCAGGGCTGCCTATTACTGCTCTGCCTCATCCTGGATGCGATCAGGTCCTGTTCCTGTCCTCACCATGCACTCTGTGTGAAGACACCAGCCAGAACCCCTCCTGTAGCAAAGCTCTATGCATGCAGCAAAGCAAAAACCACTGACGTACACATTTTACCCCACATTCCTCAAGAAACACTCATCTGTGAATTTGTGAAACCTCCTGGCTCGCTCTGGAGAAAGCTTTGCAGCTTTGGTTTTGCAGGCTGTGCAGTGCCCGGGTTGCGGCAAGGCAAGGAGCACAGGGGAGTGGATGATTTTGTTTTAGGAACTTGGGTTCCTAAAACTTAGGATCAACTTAGGGTTGATCATTTTCTTATCAGCAGTGATAAGGCCATCTTGGTCATCCACGTGCGTCTGCCGCACCAAATGCCTTACAGCCAGGAAAGCTTATCTGCTGTTGGTTTGAGACTCTATCTGTCAAAGCACACCCAGCTGCTGCTTCAGTTTCCTGCTGCAATCAGATTGCAACTAATCTAAGTATAAAATCAGAGGCAAATTGGGCTGAAAAGGAGCCTGAGCCACTGCCAGGTGCCATCTCTACACTGGGCTGCCTCTGGATCAGCCCCACCTATGGACAAGAGGCAGCTACAAGATGTGCTCATAAAGGGTGCTCTGACAAGGGATGCATTGCTGCATCCCAGCACCTCATCAGGGGAACCCCAGGGGGTTCCTGTGAATTGACCTGAAGTTTTTTTGCTGAGGAGCAAGCCTGCTACTATTTTTCCCCACAATATGGGAATGAAGAGATGATGGTGGTCATCCTGCACCTGCCTGAATGCCCCAAAGATGCTGGTGTGTGCACTTGTCCTTAGACTGCAGCGGCCTGATCCCTCTGGCATTTAAGGAGAGCCTTCCCATGTGTGCTCAGCTGAGACATAATGGTGACAGAGGTGATATCCATGTTCAGCTCAGGACAGGAGATGGGAGCGTCCCCCTCAAAGCCAGAACATCTGCAGCAAGTGGCCCTCGTGGGAGAGTTCCCAGTGTCCATTCTGTGTAGATGGTTTCCAAATACCATTCCTCCTTCATATACGTAAGAATATGTGCCCTGGGAAGAGCAGCACAACCCCATCCTGGCTGAATTTATGTCTTTGACCCCTTTCACCCAGAGGCTCTTCACACTTGACTGAAACATAAGGTAAAAGTAAATGCAACTGAAAGAGCCCATTGTGTGCGCGAGCATAAAGGCCTTTGTGTGTGGGAGCAGCGTGCGGCCAGTGCTATGAAGAGCAGCCAAGGTGTGCCCAGGGCTGTGCTGGGACGCACGGGGACACAGAGCCCGTGATGGCTGTGTGTGGGAACACCGGGGCCTGGCCAGGCCTGAGTGTCTGTGCCGAGGCCTTTCCCAGCGGGTCTGTACCAGCAGCACAGCGCTGCTGCCTGACTTCTTCCTCCACCCGCCCACAGCCAAGAAGCAGTGGGACCATCGAGTGGAGCCACGGACGCAGGGGCAGATCAACGACACATCGAGGCTTCTTCTGCACGATCATTTTAAGTGGTTTTCCGAGTACTGGTTGGAGTAAGGATCAGAGGATGGGGATGCACAATCCCATTTATCCGAAGCCGCATAATCCTCCCGAAGCTCCTTACGGGTACCCAGCTCCTTAGTTACCGAACGGCCGGCACAGCCGGGCCCACGTTGGGGACCGCGCCGCCCCCAGGGGCTCTCGGACCCCTCTGCGCGGCTCCGCCCGGAGCGAAGGAAGGGGAGCGCTGCCCGCCGCCGCCGCCGCGCTGCCTTAAGGGGTGTGGGCCCGCCAAGTCCCGCCCGCGGTTCCCCAGCGCGGAGCGGGGGCGTGCCGCTGCCGGCCGCCGGCGCTGCCCGCCCGGCCCCAGCGCAGCGGGGCACTGACAGCTGCCCCGAGCGGGCACCGGCGCGGCGCTCCCCGGCGCTCCCCTGCCCGCGGGCGGCCCGCTCCCACCCGGCCCCGCCGCCCCATCCATGGACCGCCGGCCGTTGGGCGGCGGGACCGTGCCGCCGCTGTGAGCCCGGCCGGGGAGCGGCGGAGCCCCGTGCCGCGGGCACCATGGACAGTATCCTGGAGCCCTTCGCCGCCGAGCGGCTCTTCCCCGCCGCCGGCCCCGGCTTCCTCGACCTGGGCGACTTCAGCGAGGCGGATTTCCTCAGCAATGTGGTAAGGGGCGCTGCCCGGCGGCGGCCAGCCCGGGGTGCCCGCCCCGAGAGCCCGCTGCCAGCCCTCTGCTCTCGGTCGGCTTTCCTTTTTTCCGCCTTATTTGCCCTGACGGCGCGCTCAGGCCTCCGGGAGAAACGTGCGGGGCGGGGCGGATGGAGCGCGGCCGGGGGTGCTCGGATCGGGCAGCGCTGGAGCACGGCGGGGCAACGGGACGCGGGGTCCTCCCTCCAGGCTGCTCCCAACTTCTTGGGCAGAGAAGCGCCGGGGAGACAAAGCGTCTCCGTCCCGGCGTTGGGGCTGGGACGGTTTGCTTTAGAGAGCAGAGCGAGAGGAAGAGTGACTTAGGAAAAAGAGCTGCTGCCAGTCCCAAAGAACCAAAGAGGCATTGTTCACCTCTGAGGAAGCTGCCCGGCCTCCCCGAGGAGCCCTGCGAGCCCCGAACCCCGCAGCTCCCTCCCTCGCTACCCTGCCGAGAGATGGGAGCTGTGCTGTTCCGGTGAGCTCTTGACGTAAATCTGCTGCCCCTCTGTCCCGGGGCAGGAGAGGAGGGGCCCCAGTGCTCCAGTGGTGGTCGGTGTGAGATGGGGAGCATCCTTCCTTGTTCCCGCACAGCTCTGAGCATCCCCGAGGACATCCCGATGGGGGATGCCAGCACCACAGCACCGCTGCAGGAGGTGGGAAGGGGAAGGTTGTAGCCCTTGAGTAACTTCTGCTCTGCTGCACAGAAGATAGCCAAAGCCTTTTGCTCTGATTCTGACGTGGAGAAGAAAGTAGAGATGCGGAATTTGCATAGATGTGAAGTGCAGCGCACTGGGGTGTGGAGACACATTGAGTCTGGGAAAGAGATTACGCAGGCAGCCCTGTCTCCCAGGGGCCTCACCAGCTCCTACTGCAAGGCAGTGCCGTGCCTGGGAGCGGCAGCAGTGGAGCTGTGCAAGGCCCTGTCTGCTCCGAGTGGGTCAGAGCTTCGTGCTTCCCCTATGTGCTGTGCACCCCTTGTGGGTGCAGCTGTTCTGAACCTAGAGTGCTTTGTACCAGGACTGCTTATTCTCTTATCTCCGTGATAATACTCAGTCTTGGCACCAGTCCTTTGACCTCTGTGCAACACAGGCTGCAAGCAGAAGGCAGGAAAACCCTTACCTGTATAGATGGTCCCTCCTTGTAGTTCAAACACAACTTTTGCCTGCAAACAGAGCATGAGAAAAAGAAGCCTTTGTGTAAGAGTGCCATCTGGTGCCACCTGCCAGGACAGTGTGCTTCCGTGTGCTGTGACCACGGGCAGGCAGCGACCAGTGTGGCAGTTCTGCTCTTGCTGTCCTCAGCTTGCAGTTAGAAAAAGGAATGCTGCGTGGATTTCTCCCCTGCTGCCAGCACCACTAACTTCTGCTGGAGTGAGAGAGTCCGGCAGATTTCTTCCCTTCCCAGATAAGCAGAGGAGATTCTGTAGCTGCTTCCCACCTACTGAATCTGTAGCTGATACGTGCACCAGAACATAGTGCATCAGCCTCTTTGTTCCCCTGCTGGATGACAGCATGGGAGGGAGGAATACACTGACATTTTCCTGCTAAGTCCAACAAACCTCCCAGGAGCTGGAGATGTGCTGAGCTCTTTTCACACAGAACTGTGCAGTGCATCACCGTGCACAATAGCTCGCAGAGTTGCCAGTGCCTTTGCTTCATAGATGGGCAAACTTTTCCAGATATTGTTCAGCAAGTATTTTTCTTAGAAGAGCCAGGAATTTTGGCCATAAAATGCCTGTGTGAGACTTCTTCTGGGATGATTCCTTCTATTCAGAACAGAAGCAGAAAGGATGAATGATGCTCAGTGCAGAGGCTGTGCTCCTCGGCACATGGATTACGTGGCCCTGAACGACTCGCTTTTGTCGAGCCGTTGCGCTCTTATAAATCACCTCATTTCTTTAGAAACGGTTTTCTGCGTTGTTCATCTGAAGTTGTGACTGTAGTAAGGACAGAAGAAAGGAAGGAGTAAGGACAGTACCTCTGTCCTTAGTAGATGTGTCCTCAGAGAATTCTGTGTGCTTGAAGCAGGGAACAAAGTCTGAACTGAGGGGGCTGGCATGCAGAGGAGCCCAGGCAGGTTGTAGGGATGGCTCAGCAGGAACTTCAGGACATGCAGCAAAGTAATGCTGACTGCTGCTCCTGGGACGGACCGTCTCCTGTGCTGGGACGGTTAGTTGGCATTCGCTGGCTGAGAGGAGGGAAGAAGTGCTGGGAGTCCTGGGTGGCCCTGGGCCAGCAGAGTGCATAGGGGGCTGCTAGCTAATGCAGGAGTGCAACAGTAGGGACGGAGGGGAGCTGAGGCACGGATGTGGGGATGCAGGGACCCAGCAGCAGCCTGCCTGCCCTGTGAGGAGCGTGCTGAGAAGGTGGAGCCAGGCTCTTTACATAAGTGCATGGCAGCGCTCGTAAATCAGAACAGGGAAGGTTTAGACTGAGTATAAGGAAACAATTTATCACTGTGAGGACACAGGAGAGGAAGAGGCTGCCCAGAGGTGTGGTGGAATCTCCAGCCCTGGAGGTTTCCAAGACCTGTCTGCTCAAAGCAGCCCGCTCTGCATTAAGTGTTGGCCCCATCCCGAGGAGGGCTTCAATTAGAATTGTCCTGAGCTCCCTCCCAGCCTGCATGAGGCTGTGATTATGTGATGGTTTGGTTTGGAAAATCCTAAGGTGAGTGGTGTCTGCTTTATATGTGGAGGGGACATCTCCAAAGAACAAGAAATGCTTTTTTTTTACTTCATCTAGCTAACCAGACTCACATACAATGACTGCCTACACTATCAGCCTCTGCTTGCTCAAGAGGCTGCCTCCTGCTCTTGAACTGAAAGAACTTTATTCATCTTTTTCCACCAGACAGGACCTGCCATAAATGAGGCTCATCTGTCACACACTGTTTGCTTATCAATTCCACCTGCCCATCCCCTGTCCAGTCCAGCATTTCTGGTTGTTCCTGCTGGGACCCATCCATTCATTTACGGTCTTATGGCCACACTCACAGAGCTCTTACTGTTTCAGCTCTTACCAGGGTTGTGAAACTCTTCAAAAGGTTATCTTTTGAGTCAAATCCACCACTGTGTTCTAGTGGGTTTGGGACACTGGTGGCACAATGAAGCCAGAATAAACCAGCAGAATGGGAGGCATTTCTTTTAAACTAGTACCCCAGCTGGTTTGTTTATTCCTTATGTCACTGTGTTTTGTGGTATGAAAGATACCCTCAAAGATGACTTTGGACATTGGATGTTCATGTAAACAGAGCTCCATTTTGACTCTGTGCTTTTCAAAGTATATTCTGTGTCTCTTTCTGAAAGACAGGCATCAAGGCAAAAATATCACTGACATGTTAGTTGAGGTCTCAACTGTTAGAAGTTGCAAAATGGCAATTCAGGCTGTCTCAGTAGCATTCACCCAGCTGCTCTGGGGAATGCACAGTAATGTGCTCCTTTGTTGTGTGATCTGAGGTTGCTGGGCAAGCTGACAGGCATACCTGCTGGGAGAAGAGCCACTTGTCCCTCTAGGTTGCTCCTTGAGCACACACTGTGTTCTGTGCCTACTGTCTACTCTTTTCTGCAGTATTGTCACAGCCCACAGAAAGGAGGGAAGCAGCAGGACTGTAAGGAGTGAGCAGGATGAGAGCAGTGCTGTGCAGCTCAAAAGCGGAGCATAATTTGGAAATAAACCCAGGCTGTTCACCAGGGATGACCGTCACTCTTGCGAAGACTCTTCTGTTCCTCATGCCTGCTACAGGCACTTAAATAGCACTTAAGTGGTGCTTAGTGTTGGACTGATCTTTGGCCTGAGTGAGTTTCATGCTGTGTGAGCTCCCTCCCACCACCTCAGCACACAGCAAGGACGGAGAGCTCAGCAGATGTGGTCATCCATCTCTCACTCCTTCCTGATGCTAGTGAAGGACCTTGCTGTAACAGAGGCTGGGCCTCTGGGACTGATGTAGTTCTGCATAGGAACACATGCAGAATGCATGTTGGCCCTCTGTTCCCTGCGGTAAGAATTGGTGAAGATTTGGCCGACAAGCCAAGTACTGGGCAAGGCAGGACTTTTTTCTTTAAGTTTTGCTTGGAACATGCTGGTCAGAGTTTCCTGTGGGATCTGGAGCGCAGATACAGAGAGGCCTGGCGGGGCTATCAGACCTGGCCCGATGGAAATGAATCTCAAAGTAATCATTCCCAGATTTTCCTCATTTCATTAGTTTCTTTGGATCTGTCTCACAGTTCCCCCACTTCATGCCCATGCTGCTCCTCACTGTCACACAGTTGGACTTGCATCTGCAGGAGTACACATGGAAGGGTGAAACCACAACTGGACACAACCATTCACAGGCATCTGAACCTGCAGCATCATCACTGCAGTCATCAATGGGAAATGTATGTCCACAAAGAGGGTAATGGGTTTGAACTTCCTTTGGAAGACCAGGTGAATACTTCCTCCGCAGAGACTGGGGGAATCACCTGTGTGTCCTTCCATGCCAGAAAGAAACTGAGAGACATTTGAGATACTCTTCCAGAAGAAAACATGTTTATCTGTAGGACAGATAAACAGCTGGCAGCACACACTGGGGATCCACAGACCAGAACATTCATCTCTGCCAAAGTGGGAGAATCCTTTAACTGAGCAGCTAGGCCAGAGCTAGGAGAGACCTAACTCAGAGCTGGAATGCAGGAGGCATGTATCCACAGCAGGGTTAATCCATGAGGACAGAGCTGTCATCCTGGTGGGGAAAAGCAGAAAGGGCTTTGGAGGAGTAGAGCAAACAAAGGAAATGTTGGCAGGGGGTAGGAGCATATTTGTTCTTACTGTGCTTCCGCTTAGGGATGGTGTCAGTGACACCAGCTGGGAGGTGCTGAGCCAGTTACAGCTCCATCCATGTCCCTCTGGTGATCCTAGTCCCCACAGGTGTTAGGCAGTCATTTAGATTCCACTTCTGGAGACGAGGAAATCAAGACTCAGACTGTAGGGACCAGACTCTAG